GTTTTGGGGGGTCCGGCCACGAAAGTACAGAGTCAAGAAAAAGACACAGACTTTTTGTTTGGGGGGGTCCGAAAGGATATTTATTCATCCCGAACGCTTTTGTGGCGTGTCCTCTCTGACGAACGGCATAGCCTAGGAGCCCGACGGAAAGGGCAAAGCTTTGCTGCGTGTGCCTTTCCTGTCAAAAGTCTGGCACTTGCATTCACGCCAGGTCCTCTGCCTGCTTGCCCCGTAGGTCTGTCAGCAGCACTTCGACCCTGGCTCCACGTGACGGGTGACATGGAAGGACGCAAACTGGCCAGGCACGCACGTCGGCGCCATTGAACACAATGCGAGCTCTGGGTCGGCCTGACACCCGGACGAATAAGATGTCTGCTGTTGATTTGCCTCGAGGGGAAATGGGGGATTGATGGGGTTGCAAAGTGAGAGATATTAATAAAAGCATTCTATTGTCTGTTTCCTTTACAAATATCTTCATCCATCATTTCCGTCTTTAAAAGCCTTGACATATCTTCGTTCCTTAGCTTTCTCTTTGCTTTGTCAGCCATTGGCTCTATCCTGATTCATTTTGTAGCTTTTATTGTTGGGTTTGGAGGAAGCTGTGGACGGAGGAAACAGAGAGTCCAGAAACCCAAGAGCTGGGGATGGAAACCGTGAGCGGTGGAACGAAGGCAGTCATTTCTCTGTTCTTTTCCCTGTCTTACCTCTTTTCCTTTTCCTTTGGTGTATTGGTGAGACCTTATGACGTGTCTTTTCTATCTGTTGGACTCACCAATAAACACACCAAGAATTGGAATTGGATGGGAAAGTGGACGCACCACATGGAAGTTCAGTCCTTGAAAAATCTCGGGCAGGCAGTGAACAAACGTGTTCCCCTTCTTTCAACCCTTCTGAGCAAGGTTCAGACGCTGAAAACCACTGAAACGAAGTACAGAAATCATGCTCCAGATCCAAGTTTTGGGTCCAGCCTTGATTGCCTGCACAGGCGACCAAGAAGGAGACAGTCGTGCAACATTTCCACCAAGTGGATATAAATTTTGAATAGGAACCCCTTGGTGGACACCAAGTAGGTGGGGATTGATATCCAGCACCCCACTTTGGAGAGGGCTCTCTGGTGAATGTCATAGCTGTGCAGCCTTGCTACTGACGTCACCATCACAACTCCTGCCTTGCCAGTCAGCAAGCTCCACATGCTGCAGCGCATGAATCTTGTTGTACACCTGGACCGGAAAAAGCTCTCTGCGCTCCAAACCCGCGTCAAACCGGCCAGCCGAGCTCTGGTGACGCGCGGCTGGTTGTTCCCGTCCCTTAATTCTGATCGCCTGCGAGTGGGCGAGTGGGCGAGTCACCAACCTGCAGAATGGCCCACCTGTCAATGCTCGCCAGGCACTTGGCGACGTATGCTTTCCATTGCCTGGCAGAGCGAAGACACAAAGAACACAAAGAACAAGGACTCATCATCTGGCTCATTGAGTGTGCAAGTAGTACTGAGCCAGTAGCAAATCTACGTCATGCAGCAGGGTACACAGCAAGTCTCATTCCAGTCACGTGATCGAGTTCGCCAAATAATTGAGGGCGTGCAGGACACAGTACGCCAATACGGCCGAACCTCCGGCTAAAACAAGGAGGCCAAAACAAAGAAAAGGGGCAAAAAAAGCTGTGCATTGCATGCACGGGATTTCCAGAAGAGAGCGGCCCGCCGTTGGGGCCTGTCTTTTTGAAATCCGCCTTTTTGCATCTTGGCATGGATGGATGCACTTTTACTTGCACATACGGTGGCTCTGTTTCGGAGAAGGCATCCATTCCCCTCTGTATTCCCCTAGTATTCCTTTGGTGTTCTCTCGGTAGCCTCTTGGTATTCCGCAGTATTCCCTTACTATTCCCTGAGAATTTCCCTATTGCTCCCGAAATATTGCCCTAGCAGTCCCCCGTGCCTTTAATATTCTCTTACACCTTGTATTCCCTCAGCACTCCCCCAATTTTTCTGAATATTCCAAGTATTTCCTCTCCAGTATAGTGCAACCTGGTTCCCCCCCCCCCCCCCCGGGGGATGTCTTTTTTTTGGGGGGGTGTTTCTCAAGGTGACCCTAGTGTTTCCTAGTATTCCCATCGGGGCTTGAAATGCAAAACACCTCGAGAAAACTCAAACAACAACAAACAGTCCTCAGAACAACGCCTTGGAGGTACTGGTCATTTCCCCCGCTTCATTGCTTTGTGTGGAGTTTTCTCGGTTTTGGTCAAATGTGCTTTTCGAGACTGCTGACTATTGTGCACCGATGTTTGTTTTTGGTGATATCATGTGATCGTATCCTTTTGTTGTAAAACGCAGGCCCATGGCGGGCCCTGTTGTAAAAATACATATTCAGAATGGTAAATGGTTTGGCCTGGGGCTGGAATACTCCATATGCAATGATGATACTAAGAATACTATCTTTTGTTGTGGTGGGCTTTGGGACATGCCTCCAGGAAGGTATGCTGCTTTAGCTCAAGCAAAGGCGACGCGCCTTTCAGAGAGCATGTTTCCAGCAGGTGCACTTTAAGCGTTGCAAGTTGGGTGTGGCTCAACATTTCAGAGCTGGGGTTACGCAGGTGGTAGTCTTGGGCTCCACATGTTCCACATACCAAGGTGCTGTTTTAGTACATGTTCTTGCGACACGGCCAGTTGTTGCAACCCTTCGATGCCTTGAACCTGAGTTGAAGCGAAACATTTGTCATCAAATGGCCGTGGCTCAAACAATTGTAACCCGCCGTGCCAAAGTGGCAAAGACTAAAACATGCGCAAGCCTAGCTCTTTATTCTTGAGTCACACCCAAATTTGTGTCTATGGGCTTAACATGCCTCAAGCCAACCGCAGCTTGCCATGTCCAAGCTTGGAAGGTGAAACTGGCTCGCTTCTTTGTATCCCCTTGTGCCAGGCCTTGTCCACGTGCTAGGCAGCCTAGCAAACGGCGCTTGCTTGGTGCGTCTGCTGCAAGGGCTGCGATACTGTGGACGAAATCCATTTCGCACCACCTAAGAAACCCTGCGATAATGATTGCCCTGTAAATACCAACAGATAATGGTTTCCCATCAAAGTGGTGCAGGATTTCGTCCATCCACAGTATGCAATGCGACAGTCAATCTTCTTCAGCGCCTTTGGCCTGCTTTCGCTTCTGCAATCTCAGCTCTGCTTGGCCCCTCCTCAAGCATAAAACTACAGAACTCCTCGCTCCGAAGTGCTCCCTTTTGGCGAAACCATTAGATGCGCAACGCGGCGGGTCCAGGAGCTTCTCGGCCATGCGCTCGAAGATGGTCTGGGAGCGAGGATCCCCATCCGTCGGAGCTCCCTTCGAGTCCTGGAGTCGAATTGCTCGGAGCTTTGGCGGAGGAAGCCGAGTGTCCTGGAAGACACGAAGGCGCAGGTCCTCACGGAGAAGTCAAAAGCGTTTTACTGCGATGCTGGCCCAATATAAGTGCACTATATCAACCAACCAAGTGACAGGCTAATTTTTAAGGGACCCCCCCCAGTTGCTGATTTTCATAACCCCAAAAAACAAACATGTCAATGATCCCCTGCGTTAGATTCAGTCATCCCAGCCTCTAAGATGCGGTCCAGCATTGCCTCACCCGCATCGGATTTATCATCCTGCACGCTTTCGAGCGCGGGTGCGGCAATTTGTCACAGAAATCTGGCGAAGGAGCCTTTCGAGCAGAAACCATTCGCGGGGAATCCTATGTTGGTCGTTGCGTAATGTGAAGCTTCTTGCTGGCTGTACTGCAAAGACCAGACCGATTGACTCACTGCTGCGCGAGCAGATCTTGTGTGTACAAGTCGCAATGAATGAAGTGCAACTACTTGAACATGTTGAGGCACACTAAGCCGATCTGTTTTGCAAGCACCTGAGAATGTGTCTGATGCACGGTGGCATCGTGATCTTCCCTCTCTCAGCATACCACACAATTGTTGTTGCGAGCTGGAGGCGCTGGCTGAGTACCTGGCGTGTAAGCATTTGAAAGACTTAAGAAAGAACTGCGCGCCTTCTGGAGGAGGTGCCGATGGCGCGTCCATTTGGAAGTTGGTTCGCTCCTCACAACGACCAGTGCTCTAGGCCCTAGCTCCAAATGATCCATGTGTGGTCCTCCGACCCAGCAACTGCTGTAGGCTGCGACAGGTAGAGCACCGAAGGATCACTTGGGTCAACATATGCGACCTGGCGCATCGACCTCAACGATATAAACTAAATGGGTATGGGTCAAAATCAAACCACCGGGAATGGGACCACAGGTTTTAGTCATTGCTTCCATTTACCAGGGTTACCAGGGTGCCATTTTGGGGTTACCCTCTTTTGACCCACAGAATGGCCACGTCAACTCGCCTGGTTTAGTCGTCCCTCCTGAGCGGCTTGAGCCTCAGGGCGCATCGCTCAGCTGAGGCCGCGGACTCCGCGGCGGTTGAGGCCGTGGCGATGGGCCCTTGCGCGCGAGCCTTCCGGGGGGTCACTTCTGAAAGCCGAGAGCATGGCTTACGCAGGTTCTGGACTTCGGTTTCCATTTACCAAGACTCCAGTTTGGTACATGATTGTGAGCCACAGCCAAACTGTCCATCTAACACCAGGCCTCCTGCACCTCCGAGAGCAGCTGAAATAGCAGCTGAAGAAAGGTATCTCAGATACAAAAAAAACGCGTGGCGACGCGTGGTTTTCCACAAATGTTCTCGCACTAGAGGATACAATCCCGGAAAAATCGCCACCCAATGTGCACTTGCACCTGGAGAAACTAGCATATTGACAACAAACCTCAGAACACTTGCACCAAAAATAAACAAAAATACCAGACGCGTCTGAGGCTCTGCAGCCCCCACTTCGGAAGGTCAAGTAGAAAACCTGGCACTTTGGAACTCGAAAGTCTTGCCTGATCCAAGCGGTTGGCGCACCGTGTCTCCACCCAGAAGTGGGGCAGCTGCTGGGTCCTTGAGGCACTTCACTCGAACGTGTCTCATAAGCCACGAGCGCTCGGGCGTTCTCCATGCCGGGCAGGGGCTTCGTGGAGCCAGCCAAGTAGTTTGCGCCTCTCTGACGCACACAGACAGACACAACCAACCCCAAACTGGGCGGCACCCCCAGCTCTGTACATTCTAGGTAGGGGGGGCTCTATGATAGATATTTGCCGGGGTGCAACACAACCTTGTGCATTTCTGTGGCGGTCATCATGTTGGAGAAAGGGGTTGGGGGGGGGGGGCTGGGAGGGGGCTGGGGGGAGGATTGGGGGGACCCTGCAGTGCACAAGTATGACCCTCCGCCCCCATCCCCCCCCTTCGCTGTACATTATTCAGGCTTGTCCGAAACCTGCTTCATGCTAGGGATTTCCTCGGACACCGGTGACCGGTGGACGCAGAAATGTACACTGGCGGGGGGTTGGGGGAGGCCTGGGTGTACTTTTGTCAGTGTTGAGCCAAAACCTGACAGCTTCACATGTCCATCTCCCCCGCCACTTGAAAAATGCACACTCTTTCTCTGGACGCCCTCACACACCTCGCAAATGTACCATTTCGTACCCCGAAGGAAAAGGTGATCAAATTGTTCGAGGAGTCTTTGAGGCACCAAGGGCAGCACCAAAGATGGGCTGCTCAAACTTTGGCTTCCTGCGGGCGGCCACAAACTAACTCAGAGAGAGTGTGATTGTGTGATATTGTGTGACTGTGTGTATGAGCAAGCCGCATAGCAAATAAACCTAGCCACTAACCTCGCTTCTTAAATACTCTGGAATGGACAATGCATGCACTCAAGCCACGGCCTAAGCGTGTGAAGGGGAATCGCAAAAGATCTGAAGTCTTGCCGGCAGGATTTGTCCTCAGCCCGCTTTAGGCATTGCAAGTGCAATCCTCTCAGGCGCGCAAAGCCTGGGCTGCAGGCCCCGGACACAAAGACTATTCTCTTCGATGAGAGGAAGAAGCAGCCCCTCGGTGCAATCTTTGTAGTACAGTATAACGTAGGTAGACTATCAGGTTTGCAGGCGAGCCTTCCCCAAAGTTTACCACCGCGGGGAAGTGCGCATTCGAAGTCGATGTTGTCTCGCTTGAGCACGAAGGCCTGCATGCAGAGCGCAGAGCGCAGCGCGCAGCAACTGCAATGAGTGGACGCTTGCGGCATTGACACTTCGCTTGAACCCCTGCGCTTGACCCGCTCCCAGGTTGTTGAGAAAGGGCCTGTTGAGCTATTCTGGCGTAAGTAATTGGCAGCTAACAAACAACCAAATCAGGGATAGAGGCATAGAGCCTGGAAAGTCCGAATAGGAATACAGGCACCTTTGTAATGTCACGTTCCGCCAATTCACAGGGCTATATCCACTGAACGGTGTCAGTTGCCGCGATCCCCCATGAATCGCGTGCTTGCCGGCCTCCCCACTCTCTGGCATGGGAAACAGCGACTGGGTGGCACCATCCTGTCATGCATCGATAAGACGAAAACTGCATGAAAATGGCTGGGTGTGTCCTTTTGGAGGGTACCCCTTTTTTGATAGATGGTTTCAAAGGGCCACCCAGCTGCCTGAGCCAACAAAGGATTCACGGCCATGGCTCTCTCCAAAATCTCTGATTTGCTATCTCGTGCAACTTGACGTGCTCTAATCATTGAGAAGTCATAGAACTGACTTTCAGAAGCGCATTCTTTGCAAAGCTGATCTGTGAAAAGCTGCAGCTTCGAACCCTCACGCGGCGAAACTCGCATGCTCACTGAACACTCGATATCCCATTTTCTAGTCGATCACGGTTCCGAAAGCAGCTGTCAGGGCTTCTTGCAGCTTCTCGACCGCCTCTGCCTGTCGAGATGTCTCATGACGCTTTGCTCCGTGGAGAGTCGTCTCAGTCAGTCCGAGTGCCGGAGCACCTCTGCCACGCAACTTTGGCGTAACTCTTTGGCCGCTTCTTGCCGCTCCTCATGGCGAAGTCACAACATCTAGGACTCCGCACAAGGCCGTGAGCAACTACTGACGAACACCTGCAACACTTAGGATAGATGAAACCCTGCCTACCTGGTGCAGGATATTGTCCATCCACATGGATCGGCAATCTTTCTGACCCTTGCATCTAGCCATGCTCGTCTACTTTTAAAACAGAGTGCTGCCAGGCTGCCGTTTGTACAGCCTGCAGCTCTTCCGTGAAATGGTCGCGCATGATCTCCAACTCCTTCCGCCTCGCCTGCCACCGGACTTGCTGCCGGACTTTTGCAAACTGCTTCCCGACCTCGCGAAACTGGCGCTCAGCCTGCAGGACCACTGGTCGAGCTCTCCTGATAACGAGTGATATAGGCTTGCTGGTGCTGGGAGCAAAGAGTTCCTTGACCTTGACATCGCAGGCAAGACCTCCTGACAAACAAACGCTTCAGGTTCACGATAGCTCAGCAGGCACACGGCAGTTGCACAAGCCTCTTCGTCTTGGTCTGCAATCAATATCGGCAACTCTGGAAAGTTTATTGGTGGCAGCCTGGCGTACTCCGGCATGCACGCAGAAAGAAATGCAAATGTGCAGGCACCTTAGTCTGGTTGGCTGCGTTTTGTCTTTCCTGCAGTGAATGGAGCGGGGCCCTTTCCGGTGGCAGAAGGACTCGCCACAAGAAGTAGCCGCACCTTCGATGCTTGCGAGCTGCCTTGCCACAAGAACTTTCGGTGGTACGTGAAACGGGCATCATTGCACACACATTGAAGCAACATTCTGGCACCACACTACCACACAAGCACCACACTATCACGCATGTACCAAAGGCACGAATGGACCAAAGGCATGACGCCTGGTGGCTTGACGAGGCAGCGCGCTTCTCCTGCAGGACTTGAGTGCTTGTGGGATTGAATGTTGCCTTTAATTCTCGGGTCCGAAGAAATCACAGGCTCCAGAATGCCTTCCAAGTCCGCATGCTCGCAAATGTTCAATAGGCACGTCTGCCATCAAACCGGTTGGTGCCAACCTTGGGTGAATTTCGGTCTCCTTCGCTGTGCTTTTCCCTCTTGCTTCCTGGGTCTTGGACGCACGGGACGCCTGCCAGGGCTTGTGCTTTTGGAGGGTACCCTCTTCAGGTTGCTGTGGTTTCAAGGGAAACAAGGAAGATCACGATTTGGGCTTCCAATTTTGACACCCCAAATGATGTGTGACACATGCCCATCGAATCATCCCGCCTTCGAGCCCGACGCTAAAGTTCCCATCTTCGATGCCTGTGCCACGTGCTCAAGTCGAATCGGACTTGCTTTAAGATAACAAATGATCCGAAGAAGAAAGTAAAGGCGTAAATCACTGTGAAACCAAGCAGGACTGGACCATCTGCAAAATGACAAACGATGGTGAAGTATGGCGCACTGCAACCACCGGAAAAAAGCATTCAATTCAAGTTGGTGCTCAGAAAAATGCGGATGATTGTTCTTCGCATATTCATCAGGAATCAGTCTCTCCTTTGATCAGCGCTGCCCAAGCAATGATCACCACTAGGGAACAGGCCAAGCACCAAAACACCAACATAGAATGTATCATCCAATTCCTGTGTTTCTCCGGGACACTGGTGAGATGGACCATTGGATAGACTCGGATGGACAAAAACGATTCATTAGATTTGTTGC